CGGCTGCGCTGAGAACAGGGCAGAAGCAACAACATTACTGTCAGGGGCTGCACAGAGATAACGGTGTTAAGCAGCATAACAAATAACATGATAATCGAGGAAGCAACACATGAATACAGGTAGCATAAACGTGAATCAGTCACTCACCGACAGCACTCGGGAGGCTAAGGACTGAACGTCCAGCTTGTAAAACCTGGCGAAGGTATTCTGAGAAGATCAGCCGACTGCAAAGCATATATCTTGAATAGACATACCTTTCGACCACGCCCAGGAGGAGGCAATAGCTCTTGTTGAGTGGGCCCTAATGTGAAAGGGGCATTCCAAACCTTGGCTCGTATAAGCAGCCGTGATAGCGTCCACAATCCAGTGTGAAAGTCTCTGTTTTGATACGGCCCGGCCCTTTGCACAACCACCGTAGCACACGAAAAGCTGGTCAGATTGCCGAAAGCTGGCCGAACGGTCAATGTAAAGCCTCAAAGCCCTGACGGGGCACAACGAAGTCTGAGTGTCCGCATCACGCGAGGTCGATGACTCAGAAGACAGGGCAGACAGCGAAACAGTCTGCGCTCTGAAAGGGGTAGATAGTGATTTAGGCACGTAGCCCGGTCTTGGCCGGAGAGTGATGCTGCAGTCACCGGGTCCGAAGAGAATACAGTCGCTGTCCACAGAAAACACATGTAAATCCCCTATGCGCTTAGCCCTGTGCCTTGCCACAATTCTGTCTCTGAGCTCTTCAGGCAGTTCAGGAGCAGTAGCCGTCAGTAGCCGTCACCGCCGCGGTCGCCTGGCCTGGGGTTATCCCTCCGCTGGGAAGAGCAAGGTGCCGACGAGGATCTGGATCTCACCGTCTGCTGCTGGAAAGCGCGCCTCGGCATCACGTGACTTATGGCTTTGGCGCGCTTTTGAGCTTCCGCGAAGCGCTCAGTAATGGACTCCACGGCGTCACCAAAAAGGCCGGAGGGAGTCACAGGAGCGTTCACAGCAGCACTTTACGGTCAGCATCCTTGAGGTCAGCTAGGTTTAACCAAAGGTGAGCGACGGTCTCCTCGACTGGGGGAGAGCGCACGTACCTGTGGGCCTCCGCCCCATCCACGTGGGAAAAAATGGCCTGTGTGGCAGAGTGGACGCGCGCTGATTGGGGCGCAGACCATGTTTTCACCAGCTGCTCATGTACGTCGGGGAAGAAGGGGACCGATGTCCTCGAGTCAGCTTTCCGGGTGGACCTGAAATACCAGGAGTCAAGCTTACTCCTGGCAGGCTCCTCTGGAGGACTCCAGGTAAGCTCCATCTCCTGGACAGCCCTTGACAGAACCTTCATGAGCTCCTCCTGGAGGTCTGGGGAGAAATATCTCTGTGATGTCTCGTGAAAGCTCGAGAGGGAACCATTATAAAGAAAACTCTTAATGCGGCTTATAATGGACGAACACCAAATCCTGTATACAGATAATAAAAAATATATGTAGCCTACAGGCGTGTTTGTTCGTTCGTTTGACTTGAAGCGTCGTTGCGCACCGATAAAAAAAAAGACACCAAAGTAGGTGCAAGAGCTATTCGAAAGCATAAGGAGCCGTCTGCTCTGCTCTCTATAGCTCTCATGAATGTCACACAACGATCGACCTGCACAGGGCAAACAGCCAAAACCTGGATATTTTAGGCAATATTAAAATCCAGGCCGGGACGTGTCCCGTATGAACGGTGCATATGGCCAACCTAGCAACGAGTGTTATCACTATGTCGGAGACATGCTAGCTTTCCCAAGGAAGGAGAATCTGGGGGGGCATCGCCCCCCCCTAGCCCCGGCCCTGTGTGTTAGTCATGTTAGCGTGTGTAGTTACGTTCGGTCTTCAGTACGGCTCGGCTGGTGTTGAACCCACGGCTGTTTCTAGCAGAGCAGTTAAACTCCCTCTGCAGGTCGTCAGCTGAAAAATCCATCACATTCAGGACTCGTTCTTTCAACTCGTCACCGTAATCATATGACACAAGCCTACACACACACACACATACACACACGTCAGTAAAACAGAGATAGAGACAGAACAAAGAAGTGAGAAAAACACAAACGTGTCGTACGTGGCTTCAAGTGAGCTGAATCGTTGGTCGGCGAGTTGCTCCACGGTTTTGTTATCGATGGTCCACCAGATGTGCTGCTTTTCCTCGTACAGGTGAGGCAGATGCACACGACAGGACAGTGTCACTGTATCTCCTGCAATGTGGAGACGTTCACTGAAGCATACTGAAGAAAACACGGCAAAAACAGTGAAAAAAGATGACGATGCTCACCCAGAGTCACCGTGTAGATCTGATCGCTCGCGGGATTCAGGATGATGGGAACTTTACTGCCGACATCAGGAACTACAGGAGAAAGATGTTTGAAAACCTTATGACAAGGTCAAATTAATGGATTAATTCTGCCACAAAAAAAAAAAAAAACCAAAATAAAACTAATTTAATCTCACAATTCTGCAAAGAATTCTCCAAATTGTGAGATATGCGAGAAAAAGTCAGAATTGTGATGAAGTCAATTGCGATATAAAGTCAGAATTACTAGATATAAACGCAGAATTGAGAGAAAAAGTCAGAATTGTGAGATATGAATTCAGAATTGAGATATAAACTCAGAATAGTGAGATATAAATTCAGAATACTGAGATATAAACTCAGGATTGCGAGATATGAATTCAGAATTGAGATATAAATTCAGAATTATGAGGAATTCAGAATTGTGAGATATGAATTCAGAATTGCGGGACATGAATTCAGAATTGTGAGATATAAACTCAGAACTGTGAGATATTAATTCAGAATTGCGAGATATAAACTCAGAATTGTGAGATATGAATTCAGAATTGCGAGACATGAATTCAGAATTGTGAGGTATAAACTCAGGATTGCGAGATATGAATTCAGAATTGTGAGATAATTAATTCTGAATTGTGAGATATAAACTCAGGATTGCGAGACATGAATTCAGAATTGTGAGATATGAACTCAGAATTGTGAGATATTAATTCAGAATTGTGAGATATAAACTCAGAATTGTGAGATATTAATTCAGAATTGCGAGTTATAAACTCAAAATTGCAAGATATAAATTCAGCATTGTGAGATATGAACTCAGAATTGTGAGATACGAATTCAGAATTGCAAGATATAAGCTCATAATTATGATATGAATTCAGAATTGTGAGATATGAATTCAGAATTTTTATTGAGATAAGAATTCAGAATTGTGATATAAGCTCAGAATTATGATATGAATTAAGAATTGTGAGATATGAATTCAGAATCTTCAGTGAGATATGAATTCAGAATTGTGAGGTATGAATTCAGAATTGTGAGATATAAGCTCAGAATTATGATATGAAATAAGAATAGTGAGATAGGAATTCAGAATCTTTAGTGAGATATGAATTCAGAATTGTGAGATATGAATTCAGAATTGTGAGGTATGAATTCAGAATTGCGAGACATGAATTCAGAATTGTGAGATATAAACTCAGGATTATGAGATATGAATTCAGAATTGCGAGACATGAATTCAGAATTGTGAGATATGTACTCAAAATTGTCAGAATCAGAATCGGCTTTATTCACCAAGTGTGCACAAACACACAAGGAATTTGTTGTGGTTTTTAATCCTGGATGAGGCAGATGACTGTAGTGTCATCTGCAAACTTCAGGAATTTGACAGAGGGGTCTTTAGAGGTGCAGTCATTTGTGTAAAGGGAGAAAAGCAGTGGGGAGAGAACGCAGCCCTGAGGAGCTCCAGTGCTGATGGTGTGGGTGTTGGATGCAAGTTTTCCCATCCTCACTAGCTGCTGCCTGTCTGTCAGGAAGCTGGTGATCCACTGACAGATGGAGGTGGGTACAGAGAG